TCAGTCACATTTTCATTTCTCATAACTGCATTCACAGCCTGTTCAGAATTGACTCACTGCACTTTTAACCAGAGGCCGAATTTAAAGAATTTGAGTCGCGGCTTAAATATGGTTGGTTCCACTTAAAATTGTATTCAATGTTTCAAGATTTAGGCAGGAGCTCAATTGAAACCGGTTTCAGGCGGATTTGAGACGGGACTCAAATTCATTAACTTCGGACTCAGAACATGGATCCTGTTGTGAATCGGACATGCCATGCCATCAATGATCTCCTAGAATTGTTTAACTAAAAGAAGGTTTATACTTGAATAAGCTGTATCATGATCCTAATAAGTGCACTTGTCTCATATTAAGATATTTCTTTATTTAGAAAATAAAGAGGAAAAGGGAAATGACCAAACTGCTGATGTCGATGAAGGTTTCAGGTGAGTGAGTTTTATATATTTAACCCTGATTTCACACTCATTTGTAGAGATGGGAATACTTTTTTTAGGTTTGTTTTTACATATTTAAGATTTTTTTGACATCTAGGAGGCTCCGAAAAAATTAAATTGATTGACTAAAATTATTTTTAAGCTATTTAAAATGAATTTTTAACTATGTGAGAGTAAAAGTTTCGCATCAATTTATAAAATTTGACTTGTCTCTCTGTTAGGATGATTGTATCCTATAAAATTTGACTTGTCTCTCTCTTTGTATGATTGTATCCCGGCCCATAATCGTCAACAAGACTGGACCAATGTATATAAATGTATTATTACATGATTACAGTGAGCTGGAGACTAATCTACAAGCAAAGATGGGACAGAATAATCCAATTATCAAAATCAAACAATTCAGGAAATTATTTAGAATTTTCATTTCGCAGATTTTTTACAACCTTGAATCCATTATTTACCATAAACAAATTGAAGTTCTCCTCATTATAATAACTTTTTATAAGTAGTAGTATTTTTATTCAAACTTTGGCTGCAGATATGATTTCTGGAAATAAGATTGATAGAAAGGAATTCACTAGAAACTAGAGAGGAGAGTTGGCATAAAATAACTGTTATATATAAGGGAGGGGGAAAGGACATAAAACATGTTTCTAATAGAATTCAATTAAATGAATGTCAGTTGGCATTATACCCCCTCCCCCCCGGCCCACCCCTACATCTAGGTATTTAAATGAGAGCGTTGATTTGATGGTTGTGCATTGGTTTTTTACAATATATTCTGAAGTACAGAGATAACCAGAAAACCATGAAATAGGAAGACGACTTTTAAAATCAATTTACAACTTTAAAAATTCAAGGAGCACGAGACACCGCAATTGTGCAATGTGTACAGACCCATTTAGCTAATTAATACTTCAATAAATTGTCTAGTAAAACTATTTGCTTTGTAATAACATCAAGTACACATAAGTATTGCTATAATGTCGTCTTTCTATACAACAGTTTTTTGGTTCTCACTGTATGTTCTTCGATTAATCATATTTG